TAAAAAAAAAAAAAAAAAAAAGTTCCCAGACCTCAGTCTCTACTTTCTCCACCTGAGACATGGGGCTATGCGCTCTATGTTCTGACAGCAAGCAAAAGCAGCAACCCTTCCTGGGAGCAGGAAGAACAGCTACCACTGGCCCCCGCCTGCCCACCACCCCTGCCTGACCAGCCAGGAGGCTGGCAGAGTCCCAGTCCCCTCCGGCCTGCAGCGTACTTGATTTGGACCCGGCTCTTATGGTGATGGTGAAGCTGAATCTGTAGCTAAAAATACACAGGAGCTCAGCCAGCTGCTGAGCTTCCTTGGAGGCGGGCCTGCGGCTGCTGCAGGAGCCAGGCACACCTGCCCACCCCAGAGGCTGCTCCTGAGCGGCAAGATGTCCTGGGACCCTCACCACACTCTTGCTCACAACCTGGTCTCGGAGAGGCTCAGGACAGCCAGCTGGCTCCTGCCACAGGACCCACTGGGCCCCAGGAAGCTCGGGAAGCTTCCAGGTGGCCTTTTGTGTGGTGAGCTCATGTGTGGTCACCCTGCCACAGGGAGGATGACAGGGTCACTGAGCTGGGAGAGAGAGGGCAAAGTCCAGCCAGCCCAAGTCATGTTGGGGGCTGATGACACACTCCCGGGGATGTCGAAACCATCAATCAATTAATGTCCGCCCAACTGGGGGGAGATAAAGACCCCAGGCCCAGACAAGAAGTCTCAACACCCAAAGGCCCAGAAAGAGAGGACGTGGCCACCAGGCTCCCTGGGAAACCAGGCCACGCGTATCCACCAAGGTTCCTGGAACCTGGCCGCAGGTCTCTGCACGCTCCAGAGGCCACCAGCACTTGGGGGCAGTCACTTCCACAGCACAAAGCCCTGGGCAACAAGGCAGGACCCTATCTCTTCAAGACTTCAGGAACAGCTCAAAAGGCTACACCCAATTCTCTGCTCCAGTCCCATGGGGTCACAGGCAGCCAGAGAAAGCACGGGGCAGGTGATTTGACGTTTGGACACCTCTCTCCTTAGCCTGGGCGGCAGCCATCTACACCCCGAAGGTCCTAAATAAAGGTCGGATACCACGCTCAACTCCCACTGGAGGTGCCGGAAGGGGCGGAGACACAGGCGGGTCAGGCCGCCTCCCAGGCCGGCCCGCGCCCTTCCGCTGGCGTGGCCCTCTCCCTGCAGACCACAGCGGTCCCGCCCCAACATCGGGGCGGCGGGCGGGCGCCCTCGCTCGGGGGCAGGAGGAGGAACAGCCGGACGCCCGCGATGCAGGCGGAGGGGAGGCAAGGATCAGAAGGGAGGGCGGTCGCAGGGCCGGAAGCAGTTACGACGCTTCCACATTGGGCCCGGACAGCTCTCCCGGCTCACGCCCAGGGCACAGTGTGGCACTAAACCGCTCGTTCTGGGTCACAGGACCGCGCAGGTTTCGCTGGGAGGGGAAGACAAACCAGGAAGGCGCGCGCGGCGAGACCCCAGGCGGTGGAAGAAGCTCAGTGAATTGGTCAAACCAGGAAGGAGAGACGGAGGTTCAGGGGCAGCAGTAATACAACCTGCCTTAATCCCTTCCCTCACCCGGACTGGAGCAAGGGGCATGCCCTTTCCTTAGCAAAGGACACCGGTCACTGGGGACCCAACGACAGCACGCAGGCTTCTTCCAACCCCACAGCTCTCGGGCAGGGGTGCCAGCAGTCGGCTGGCCCGGGGAGGGGGAGCCCAAAATAACCCAGACAGCTGGGGCCAGAGGGTGCCACGAGCCCAGGCGCCGGGATGCAAGTCAAGACACCTGGAGCTCAGCCTGCCGGTGCTGGCCTCATGACCTGAGTCATTTCTTTGGGGGCCGTGAGCGGATGATCTCAAATCGGGCCTCCGCCAGCCCGACCCAAACTACCGGAGGGGAGCAGACCAGCTGGGTGCCGGCCCCTCCCCCTGCCCGGGGCCGGGCATATGCTCCCGGGGTGGGCGTG